TAGGGTGGGGGGGGGTGAGGAGGGAGAAGCCGAGTCCCAGGGCCCCCTCAGCAGGCAGGGTGAGTGTCGCTTACCCGACAGGCCAGGCAACTGACTGACTGCGGGTCCCCACCCAGCACTGGGGCCCCTGATTCTCAGGGCCTTGCACTCCTGGAGTGCACTGGTGGCCCCGAGGAGTGTTGGGAGGCCAAGGACGTCGACCCTGGGCTGAAGTTATTCACCATGGCCCACGACAAAGCGCACCCACCTGTGAAAGTCAGATCTGTCCCGAGCCAGGCCACTCCGACCCAACCCATCCCGGCTGCCACCAGCCTGCCACCTCTCCTAGCTTACGGTAAGGATGGTTCTCCGGGTTCCCATCCTCTTCCCATCACAGCCGCTGGGGGGCGCCCTTAATCTGTCCACATCAGTCCTCTGCTCAAAACCCTGATGTGGCTCCTCCTTACCCGGCTTTTTCCCCCCAGCACTGGGGTTTGAACCTAGGGCCTCATACCTTCTAGGCAGGAGCTCTGCCTCTGGGCTCCATGCCAGGTCTTTTAAACTGCCATGCTGGCCTCAAACTTGAGATGCCCTTGCCTCAACCTCCTAAGTAGCTGTGATTACAGGCATGCACCACCATGCCCAGCTGCCCAAGTCCTTATAATGAGCAACGAAGCTATTACATGCAAGGTTGCCCCTCCTCTCTGAGTTCTTCTCCTGTCACTTTTCCCTGACTTTTATTTAAGTAATTTATTTTTGACTCTTTGAGACAGGGTCTTACTATGTAGTAGCTCAGGCTGGATTTGAACTCATATGTAGCCCAGGCTGGACTCGAACTCATGGTGATCCTCCTGCCTCAGTCTCCTAGGTGCTGAGATTATAGGTGTGCGCCACCACACCAGCTCCTCCCTGGTTTTCTCTGCTCCAGTTCTGGAGACCCCTGCTGCCCCCTGAATCCACACCATGTGCCTGTTAAACTGTCTGCAGCGTCTTGCCTCAAACATGCAAAACCTGCTTCCTCACTTGACTGTTCAAATGTCGCCTCCTCAAAGAGGCCTCCCCTACGTGCCCATGTGAAACGCCTATACTCAAGCCTGCATATCCCCTTTTCTTTTCTTTTTTTTTTGGTACTGGGGATCGAACTCGGATCCTTGCGCTTGTGAGGCAGGCGCTGGAACCACTGAGCTGAATCCCCAGCCCCAACCCCCTTACTTTCCTTCACAGGCCAGATCATCCCTCGAGGTGTCTCAGATCTCAGGCTCCCTGGTCCCAGAAGCCAACCTCATCTGCTCCCCTGAGAGCCAAAGGCTGACCACGCCCACCTCTTCCTTGCCTCTAGTTCTTTGTATTCACTCTCCACCCACCGGAGTGACTGTTGGCTGTTCTACCATCCCTCCATGGATGATGCTCAGATGGCGGCCACCAAACCACTGTGGTACTCGGCCTTCCGGTGTCTGACACCGTGCCTCCTCCTCTCCAGGAAGTTCTTCCTGGTTGTCCTCCTAGTAGTCTGATAGTTCTCACTCAAGTTCTGGTCTTGACCTGTTCATCTTCATGTCCTCTCCTTGGAAGCCCCCACTCACTCCAGGACTCCCCTCCCACTCCTATGCTGTTCTCAAAACCCCAGACTCCTTGCTAAGCTCCATCTGGTCTACCAGCTGCTGCTCGGGCTTCTCCACATGGGTGTCTGCAGGCAGCTCAGCCCAACCAAGCAGCACCACTCTACTCTCCTTCCTGAAGCAGCTCCTGCCCCCTGAACGGCACACCTGTGCACTCATCCTGTGTCAGAAACATCCAGTCCACCTTTCATGGTCTGCCTTGGTCTCATCTTATTGGTTCTACCTGTGATGCTCAGGAGCCTCCACCATTACTCATCCAGGTGATCCCAGCAGAGCCCAGGTGTAGTGGCACATGCCTGTAATACCAGCATTCAGGAGGCTGAGGCAGGAGGATCATGAGTTTGAGGGTAGCCTGGACTACATAGTGAGTTCAAGGGCAGGACAGTCAACTAGTGAGACCCTGGTTTTTTCTCCCAAAAAAACCAAGAAACTTATCCAGCAGCACTCATTTCCTGGGCCTTCTCCAATCCAGTCTCCATGTGGCTGCCACCATCATCATCACAAAGAGCTGTCCACCCCACTTCCCTGCTTTAAATTGTTTGATGACTCTGGACAGCACTTGCACCCTGCACTATTCCCAAGCTTTCTTCAGATGGCGGTAACAAGTCAGAGGCAGACAAGCCCTGGTTTCCCTAGTGTAGTGATGGCGAACCTTTTAGAGACAGAGTGCTCAAACTGCAACCCCAAACCCACTTACTGCAGAATGCCAACGCTGCAACTACACCCGAAAACCCGATGCTCGGCTGCTGGGGAACTTGGCTCTCATGCCGACAGAGGGCTCTGAGCATCCGCTGTAGCTCATGTGCCATGGGTCTGCCACCACTGGTACAGGGTAAGTCAGAGCGCTTTGTGAACTACAACAGGGTACTGTAGTCCTCTCTACTGCAGAGTAAGGTACTGATGGACACACCTGGCAGGGTCCACTCAACTGTTTGTCTCTCTGAATTTGAACTTGGGCTAACGTGCCTTGGGGCAAGTTCGTAATTCCAGTACTGTTGATCTTTCCTACTGTCCGCTTTAATCATGTTAAACTAGGAATCAACTGATTCCTCCTTGAAGACTTGGCCAGATCAGCAATTTTTATTTTCTTTTTGAGTCAGGGTCTCACTATGGAACCTAGGCTGGCCTCAAACTCACATGGACCCTCCTGCCTCAGCTTCCAGAGTGCTGGGATCACAAGCGTCCAACACAAAACCTGGCTCAGTTCAGTTCTTAAAGCCAAGGAACAGGCCATACTATCCCACAATACTTGCCCTTTGCCCTGTGGGAACCACTTTGTTAAGTTTTAGACTCTCACGGGTATGTATGGTCAGCAGGATTACATTTCTCACTCTCAGGTGCAGCAAGAGACCCAGCACAGAAAACCTTCCTGTAGGGGTCGGGAATTTAGCTCAGTGGTTTTGCCGCCTGCTGTGCAAGCACAAGGACCCGAGTTCGATCCCCGGTAGCAAAAAAAAAAAAAAAGTTGAGAGGAAAGCCTTCCTGTGAGCCTGGCATAGTGATGCACACCTGCACTCTCAGCACTTGGGAGGCTGAAGAAGGTCCACTCAGCTGAGATTTCTCCATGTGTTCCCAGCTTTTGGATTATTCCTATTTAGACCTGTGTGAGGGCACCAGCAGCTCATCAACAGCTTTGGACATCACCGATGTTCGGCCTCACAGCTTCCTCAGGGCACTACAGCTGTCTGCAAGCGGATCCTGCATTGCAGGACACAAAACCAGGCTGTCCAGAGTCTGGCTTGGTGGGAGGAATTCCCCTCCACGGTAGCCATGACTCTGCCTGAAACCAGACCAGCTTCTCAAGAGACCCACGTTCTGGAGTACATGTTAAGTCTTTCAAGAGCGCATGTAGGCCAGGTGTGGTGGTACATGGCTGTAATCCCAGCACTCAGGAGACAGAGGCAGGAGGATCTCGGTGACACCAGCCTGGACTAGTGAGTTCAAGTCCAGCCTGAACTACATAGTGAGACCTTGTCTCAAAAAACAAACAAAAGAAGAGTGCCTGCAGGGCGTGGTGGCACACACCTGTCATCCCAGCTACTTGGGAGGCTGAGAGCAGAGGTGTGAGGCCAGCCTGGGCAACTCAGCAGGGCTGTCTCAAAATCAAATAAAAATGAAACAGAACGCGGAGGGTAATCCTGGACACAAGGTCAGGCCTACGATTCAGCTCCCCAAGACGGTGGCATTGCCACCAAGGAAGAGCTGGCAGCACCAAGCACCCTTCCTCCCTCCTGGCCCCTGTTCCCACGGGCTCTCACTCTGTCCTGGCCACATGCCCTATGTGAGCATGTCACAAAGCTTGGGGTGCCTGTCATTTTTAGGTGAGCTTGCTGTTTTGTGGCGGGGACCAGAACAAGGCACATGTAACTTGTCACACAAAGGTTTGGCCAGTGGTTTTCAATGACTTTCAGCAAATAAGGGGCCATTAGTGGCACCTAGAGGCCCGGGAGCCCCTTTACAGAAGTGTAAAGTCCTTGAAAACCTTGTGGCCCTGCTTCATGTGAAGTCAAAAAGGAACCTTCGCACAAGTATTTTGTTATAAAAATTTATCAAAACAATCATGTTTTTATGAGACTTGATTTAGCAAGGTAAAAGATGACTTAAAAAATTAAAACAATGTAAAATTTTTTAGCCCACCAGGCAGAACCTAAATTAAATAAATCCTCTGCTACTCTAGGTGAGCTTTTGTGGATCGGGAAAGTTGATTTTCCCAGCTGTACTCTTACCTTGGTGCCATGCAACCCTAGGAACTGAGCTGCCCTCCAGATGGCTCAAGAGCCAGAGCCACATCCTGGCAGGCCAGGTGCCGGCTCTGCGCCCAAAGCAGGGCCTGTGACACAGAACAGGACCAATGTTCAGGGTCCAACTGGGACACTGGGGGGTGGGGGTGCTGGGGAGCCAACCCAGGGCCTCACATTTGTGAGGCAGGTGCTCACCCAGCCCTACAACACTTGTGAAAGCAAAAAGCTCCTGTCAGTTACTTGAGAAGTATGGGGCGGGGATTTAGCTCAGTGGTGCCACTGCCTGCCTTGAAAACACAAGGTCTCCAGTTCGATCCCCAGTACCAGAAAAAAAAAAAAAAATTACTTGAGAAGTAAAAGCATAAGACCTATTTGGTGATGTGTGCCCGAGGTCCAGGCTACTCTGGAGGCTGAGGCAGGACTGGCTGAGCCCAGGCAGTCAAGGCCACACCAGGCAACACAGCCTCCCACTGGAAGAGACAAAGGGCCACTGAGTTATAAGGCAGATGGGAACTACATTTCCCAGGATGCCCTGCGCTTGGCCTGCAGGAGCACCCCGGGCTGTGGTTAGCACCATTTGTGAGGTAAACAGTCCAGGGCTGGGGTCGACACAAAGACGTCTCCTTCTAAGGGACCCGTAACCAGACACAGAACACAAGAGTGAGGTGAGATTGCAAAGGCTATTGAGTGGGGTGAAGCCTCTCCCCCAACAATGCCAGCTCCCCAGGCCGCTGCCTATTCTCCTGGGTGCTGTGTCTGCCGCCCCACAGCTGCTAGTTTTTCGGGGGATTCTGGGCCAGGTGATGTTCCCACTCAACTTCAACCAACTTGTACAGCTCCATGGTGGCCTGGGCATCTTCCACAGAGGAGTGTCCGCTTTTTCCAGCCTAAACAGGGAGGAAGAGAAAAGCATGAGCCCACAAGCTTTCCCCTCCCAACTGACACTGCTCCCATCACCCCAGTACCCTAGGGCTCCTGCGTCAGTGGTAGGCTGCTCTACCCCTCACCGAACCCAGGGCTGACGCCCCAGTCCTTGCTCCCACCTGCGCCATCTCCTTCTGCGACAGCATGTGTATGCCCTCAGCGCTGCAGAGACGAGCACACCAGACCAAACGCAGGACTCTCAAGGCCTCTCCGGCCCTAGTTCCTCAGCTGCTCTCTACATGGCATGGCTCTACAGGCACTACCTCTCTGAACACAGAGCATGTGAAATGCCTGACCAGTCCTTCCAGCCACTCTGTAGGTGGTCTTTAGGCTATAGCTACTACCTGCTTTCCTTCCTTTTTAAAAAAATTTTTTTGACTGCTACGCAAGTGCAAGGACCCGAGTTCGATCCCTGGTACCAAAAAAATAAAAATTTAAAAAATAAATAAATAAATAAATAAAAAAGTTTTTGAGACAGGATCTTGCTATATATCTCAGGCTGGTCTTGAGCTCACTACATAGCCCAGGCTGGCCTCGAACGTGCAATGATCCTCCTGCCTCAGCCTCCTAAGTGCTGGGAATACAGGCATGTGCCACCATGCCTGGCTTTCCTTCTTTCCACTTTGGGCTTATTTTTCTTTTCCAAAGTAGCACTTAGAATGTTCTGTGAGGAAGAGTAAAGCCATCATTACCCCTCCGCGAAGATGGAGACTCCTGGGCACCTTGGTCCAAAGCTGTCTCCAGCAGAGGACCCATGTGGAGCTTTTCAGCCAGAGGACTCCTGGGTCAGAGCCTAGCCTGGAGAGGCAGCAGGAAGAACCCACGTGCCATGGAGTGTGTGGGGTGACAGTCGAGGAGTGGCTACCTGGATGTCCCGGCCCAGCAGCTTCTTGGTGAGAGTCTTGAGAGACATGGTGGCATTCTCCGGGCAGCTGGCCTTGCGGTTGAGGAGAGGGATCTGGGAGGTGTCTCTGGTGAGGGGCTTGGGGTGAAAGTACTGCAGGGCTTTGAAGTCGTTGTGGATGGCATGTCCCACCACGACCTTCCCGGAGAGGATCTTCAAGATCTGGAAAGGTGGGGAGGAGATGAGAAGCAACAGCCACACGTGGATTCCTGCATCCTGCAGGCAACATGGCCATTGGCTGCTGGTTTCTCTTCACTGAAGGCCTGCCTGCCTCACCCTTGAAATGCCCTTTCCAACAAGGCTGCCTTCTGATATCTTCCCCTTCCCCAGGTAGAAGTTGATAATTTCCATGTGCAACCTTATTACTTGGACCTCCAATGACAATAGCTCGCCTTCTTTTTATTTTTTGTGGTGTTGGGGAAATTAAACCCAAGGAGCACTGAGCTACACCTCCAGACTTTTTTTTTTGGTACCAGGGATCAAACTCAGGCCCTTGTGCTTGCAGGGCACAAGGCAGAACCACTGAGCTAGATCTCCGGCCCCAGGCTTTTAAAATTTTGCGAGAGGGCCAGGTGTGGCGGCATATGCCTGCGCCACAATGCCCAGCTGCTCTTTACCTTTTTTTTTCTGTACCAGGGATCGAACTCAGGACCTTGCACTTGCAGGCGGTGGAACCACTGAGCTAAATCCCCAGCCCTCCATGCCCTTTACTTTCTTATTAATTTCTACCCTAATGATGGATTAATTTTCCTTTTGTCCTAAATCTAACTTGCGTTTAAGATGGTGGTGTAACTGGCACACATGGGGGCACAGTCCTGTAATTCCAGTACTCAGGAAGCTGAGGCTGAAGCTGAAGGACTGTGAGTTCAAGGCCAGCCTGAGCTACAGTGAGCCCTTATCTAAAAAAACAAAAAAGATGCTCACATAGCTATCTAGTTTAGGTCTTTTTTGTTTCGTTTGTTTTGTTTTTCTGAGACAGGCTCTTACTATTTAGTTCAAGCTAGCATGAACTCTATGTAGCCCAGGCTGGCCTTGAACTTGCAGTGATCCTCCTGCCTCAGCCTCCCAAATGCTGGTGTGCTCCACTACGCTCAACCAATAGTTCAGTTCTTTTTTTTTTTGTATCAGGGATCAAACTCAGGACCTTACACTTGCCAGGCAGGCCCTGTGCCACTGAGCTACATCCTGAGCTCCTTTTTTTTCCTTTTCTTTTTGCTAGTTCAGTTCTGACTTGCAACTTTAAGCCCTTTATCTCACCATGTTGGCCTTAGACATGTGCCTGGAACTCATGAGATCAAAGATGGATGGGCTCCAGGGAGGTAGCAGAACCCAGGTGAAATGCACCTGGATGTGTGGTTACTTTGGGGGAACAGAGCCTATGGTTTTCACGACTCACAGGACTCCACATAGAAGACCAAGTCACATAAAGACTTAAGCTCAGAGGGGCCTTACGCTAGTCTTGGAGCCAAACAGCATCTCACTGTTTCAGCATCTTGATGAGTGAGGACTACCAGTGAGTTCAAAGAACACACCATAGGCTCCAAAGGCTATTCCCCACATGGTGTTCCCAAAAGGCTGTGCACAAAGTGACACCCTGCATGGCCTCCCATCAGGATGCCTGGGAAGAGGCCAATCATGTGGACATGCCCACTTCACAACCCCCCAGGCCCTGGGCAAGGGCCTCATGATGCAAACTGGCTGCACTCGTCAGCCTGTGTGCAGCTGCTCCTGACTGACCTGGAGTTACTACGCCAACACCTTGATTTCATGACTCAAATGTGCCTCGAGCCATCTTCTGCCTCTCCCAAGCCTTTGTTGTCACCCTGTGCTCAGGATGTCCTTCTACTTGTGTCTAATAACCAGCTGCTTGGCCTCTCACCAAGGCCTGTCCTGGCCTAGGAGCAGTTACTGAAACACAGAATGTCTAACTGTGACATGGACCAAGGGCGCCCTCTGGTGGACCCCCAGGGCCAGCTGGCTCTCCTCTTCCTCCCTTGGTCTTTTAGAGCCTACCTGCCTTTCTTGTTTATTTGTTATGCTTCCAAAATCCAGAGGAGGGCCAGAATGAATAGGTCAGCTCATAACGAGACAAGAACCCCGACGCATCAGTCCCGTGTCTTTTATGTCCCTCACCACAGGTACACACCATGCTTCAGCTCTGTCAACTTTCTCACCTCTTCTACTACTTGTCCCAGCCTACTTTCTGTTTGAGAAGCCCTCTCTACCTCTCTTCTCAGTCCTAGGCTCCCATTCTATAAGGCAGTGATGGCGAACCTTTTCATTGCTTTCAATGATACAAACAGCCTGGTGTGGCACGCACATCACAGACTAACCACCACTGCTATAAGACATTTCCATATCAAGACCTTTCCTAACCCGCATGCCTGTGTTCTTCCAGGTTCATCACTGGCTGTTGTTTCTCTATACATAACTTCTAGTCCCCAGATCAATCTCACTAAATCCTAAAATTCTTTTTTTTTTTTTTGAGACAGGGTCTCACTATGTAGTTCAGGCTGGCCTCAAAATTGCAGTGATCCTCCTGCCTCAGCTTCCTGAGTGCTGAGATTACAGTCATGCACCACCACACCCAGTGGTAAATAAGTTTTGACTAGTGAAATTTGTTTTACCACTGAACTGTACTTTCACCATTTTTTGAGAAAAGGTCTTGTGTATCCCAGGGTAGCCTTGAACTCAAAATCCTCCTGCCTCAGGCTCTTTGAATGTTGAGATTACAGGTGCAAAACGCCCTGATATGCACTTTCACCACTCTTTACCCAAACAAGTGCCCTTAATCATCTGATATTCTTGGTAAGCACTTGCCTGGTAAGTGTGAGGCCCTGAGTTAGATTCTCAGTACCAGAAAAAGAAAGAAAAGAAAAATCATCAGATATTCTACTCCCCCACAATCCTTTGACACCGTCCCAGGATGACACCCTCTGCTGGAAAAGGTCTCTTGGTCCAGCCCACTGTCACTGTCATCCTCACGCCCTGGGCTCCTCACCTGGCTCCGCGCAGTCTTGAATGGTGTGGCTTTCAGCATGTGGTGCTTGCGGATGCCACTCCACCGGGTCCGGTAGTCCACGATAGGGCAGGGGGGCAGGACGTACTCGTCATAAAGCACATCCCCGTCATAGTTGATGATGCTGCAGCGAGCCAAGGAGCTGACGTGGCCCTTGGGACCCGTGCCCACCATCTCACAGTCTATCGCCACCATCTTCCCTGGCTTCTGGGACGCTCCAGAGCGTACGCTGTCTGAGTGCGCCTGGGGGGCATTCTGTGCAGCACTCTTCTGAGGGGGCTTCTTCTGAAGGGGCTTCTTCTGGGAGCGGGCTGGGGGGCTCTTAATCTTGGGAAGGTCACTCTGGAACTCCCCCAGCAAATCTACTTTACCCACAACAGAATCAGTCTTCTTGGAAGGGGCAGGGGTCAGCCAAGACACCGCAGCTTTCTTGTCCAGGGACTGCTCTGAGCCGTCGCTAGAGGCAGCTGTCTTCTTTCTTTGGGGAGGGTGGATCTTCCCAGTGCCGTCCACTCTTGGAGTTTCCCCTTTCTTTGTAGGTTCTGAGTGTGGCTTAGGTACTTTACTAGGACGCTGGTTCTTTTTGTTCAAAAATCCTCTCTGTTCCAAGAACCGTCGCCTCCTGACAAAATTTCGATGCTTGGCATTTCCTTCTAATGATTTTTTGGGAGGACATTCCGCAAAATCCAGATTCAAGAGTAAAGCAGACATGAGGGCAGCAAACAGTGGGAATGCAGGTGGGAAGAATGGCTCACAGATGACAGGATAAGGTTCTCATTCTCTGCTGAGTCCCTTCTACCATGTGGAGGTCTGTAGAAAACCCTGAGGAGGAAAGTGATCTCGGTAACTGTACCCACAGGCCTGGGGGAAAATGAGATGAACCAATTCTGTAGGATTTAAAGCAAGAAAGACATCAGAACAACCTGCCAGATAGACAGGGAAATGAAATGATGGAATGCATACAGGGATAAAACAAAATTTGGACTTTAGTGAAGCCCCACAGTTCACCATATGGACTTAGGAAAGTCATTCTCCTTTCTGGGCCTCAGTATCAATTTTAAAATGAAGGAGCTGGGGCAGGAGATATAGTTCAGTAGGAGCGTGTGTTTAGCATGAGTGAGGACCTAGGTTTCATCACCAATAACAAAAAAAAAAAGAGAGAAAGAAAAGGAGCCAGGTGTGGGTTCACATGCTGTAATTCCAGCACTCTAGGAAGCTGAGGCAGAAGAATCACAAGTTCAAAGTCAGCCCAGTAAGACCCTGTCTCAAAAAAGAAAAAAAGGGGGTGGTGGTGAGGAGGTAGGATGGGCGAAGGCCTTGGGTTCAATCTCCAGCACTGCCCCTCAAAATTCGAGGGCGGTGTGAGGGTTGGTGGATCCACTGAGTCCCATTCTCCTAATGTCAGGAAGCCAGTAGGGGTGAGCTGGCATCCACCTACGAGGGAACGTCCCAGTGTGATCCAAAGCAGTGAAGGGTAAGGCACGGATGGCATCCGCAGGCGGTCCCAAGAACGGGACACCAATCCAGGCGCCCCTGTCGCTCGACTCCGCGAGATTTGTGGGGGCAACGGCCACATGCTACTCACCCAAGTCCTCCCAAGCAAGAACCTTTGACAACACCTACCAGAGGCGCGAAGTGAGGGGGATCGGAAGTCGAGGTAGCCCACTCGCAAGCACACTCTGGACGGCCCTCGCGGTGGGGACCGTCCCCACTACGAACGGAAGCGTCCTGAGGCGGATGCGGAAACCGGGGCACGCCGACGGGCACCGGGACGGCAGGAGCGCGGGTGGGACCGTGCGGGGGGGCCGGTGCGCGCGCGCGCCCGAAGCGCCCCCACTTCCGGCAGCGAGACCAAGGACTCAGAGTGTGCGAGGACCGGCGGCGGCGGAGGCGGCGGGCGCGGCGGGGGCGGCGGGGGC